CTATATATATATCAAGGGGGGCTGCAGCTGTTTTGCAACAATAAGTTTTTAACTCACTAGCTCTGAGACTGACACACACGTGATGAAGATCTTGACTCCTCTATAAAACTATCTACTTCATTCTAATATCCTCCGACCGAAGCTCCGACGCCATGCCAAAAAGTGCAAAAACTTTGCTTCAGTGGGCCTGGTTTTAACAGCACAGGTGGCAGCGCCAATCAATGCATTGCTAATGAAAGCCAGCAAGAGAATCAATTAACTTTCACTAAAGTGAAACATATGTGCAAAACTGATTATTTGCAGCTGACCACTCAACAAACTACTCCAAAAACATCAAAACCAAGCAAAGCACATACAATCTGTTCTACCTTTGCTATTTTTTTCATCAAAAGATATTTTCATCTGAATGAAAGTCACTTTCTGGATATTTCCAACCAATATCTTATTTTCCGTTAAAGGTTTCTTCGTCTCACTGTTTTAAAATACAGCAGCATGCCCATATTTGGAAACTGTATCCATGTGTAAATCACAAATACCTCTGCTACTCTTGAATGTGTGATTCCCTTGTTCTCCTGTCTATCTCAAACTGGTGCATATCATTGGGTTCTGTCTTTCCAAAGAGCTTTCAAACTCCCTGATTGGACAAACGGATATTGATGTTTATAGAAAAAAAGTCTAGTTAGCTTTTTGTATATAGTGCAATGTGTGTAAATAAACAGTCCTGGGAAAAAAAAAAAAACTTTCGATTTTAGAGAGGAAAATTGTATTTTTATAACGAAATATATAACAGCATTCCAAATGTCAAACTGCAGCAGTAGTTCACCTGGGTGAACTACTGCTGCAGTTTCTTAACAGCTATGATTTCTGCGTTGCTTGTAACATGGACACCAAACTTGCTACATATGTAGCCAAGAAGTTGAATTTGCAGTTTATTATGCTTGTTTCTTTGTTACAGAAAAAATAAGTTTTGTATATAGGCCAAACTAATTTTTGGGGGGGATTTTAACTTACTAAGGCACAGAATTTACTTTCAAAATTCCACTTCATCCTCTAGCACCTTCATTTCAGTTAATAACAGGATTAGCAGATTAGCCAGTGTACAATTTGAGAAATGCTTTATGAGGTATGAGTATGCCTTTTTTTTTTTTTATTGACCTCTGGGCTTACATAGTGTGCTTCATGCAATAGTCAACACAGTTTGTGTAAAGCTGACAAAAAGCCATTCTTCTTCAATCTTTTTTATTTTATTTTCCTCCTTTAAGGTTGGGCATTTAATCATTTGATGTCTCTACGGTAGAGTTTAAATGTACATGGTAGGTGTTTTTAAAACGTCTTCCACTAAATTTTTAAGAATAATCAACATCTAGTTGACCTTATCCGAATCTAACTCAGAAACCTTTAACCTTACCAGAGTTTAATTTCATTCCAGTCATGGTTATTCTTTGCAAGATATATTCATATAGCAATCTGAAAACCTGAGTATGCAGCGAGTCAGTGAAAAATCTGACAGATCAGATAAGTCCGCTGCCAGGTTTCAAAATAAACAACTGAAAAACTAAATCTCACAACCTCGACAATACTTCAGCAAGACAGAGGGAGAACCCTCATATCGTAACCAGCAATTGATGCCTCTCAACCATTCCTTCTCCTCATTGCATCAACATACATCTCTATTCACACAACAAGCTAACTGCTGGAACCCCTGCTTCAATAAAGATAATCATCTAATCCAAAGTTCTTCAACAGGGGGTCCGCTACCCCTAGGGGGTCCACGGAGGTACTGCATGTGGGTTGCAAAAGTCTGGGTTGATTACACTTTTTTTATATTCCATCTGCTAATTTTTTCCACTAATTGAAATGTCTTTAAATCCAAATTATCATGAATTCAACACACTGTAGTAAACAGATAAATGGAAACAGAAGATGTCTTTCAGTCATTAAGGCAAACATTCAGCCACACACAGGAGCTCTTTCAAACTGGGCACCGTTTCATTCACAACACCTGTCCCATCAACGAGTAATCAGAAGCATAAATACTTTAATAATCCCAGGGTATAATTACTTTCGTTACATGACTCCATCTGTAATAGAGTGACTATAGGACCAGTTTGATATAACAGAAATTTATACAATGTATATAACTAAGGGTCCCCGCACCATATCGCCATCCGTTTGGGGGTCCTTGGCCTGGAAAACGTTGAAGACCCTTGATCTAATCTATGAGTTTGTGCTTCCCCCCTTCAACTCTATTATAGCAGCCGGGTTGCTTTTAGTTTTTTTCCACAGCTTCCAGTACAGCTCTTTTTTCCCATGAATATAACTTTAAAACATACTGCTGCTTTTCTTTGTCATGACCCTGTCAAAAAAGGTTGTTTTTTTTTTCTCCTCCCACCTGGTCTCAAGGTGTACAGGGGCAGATAGTTTACTGTGTGGAAAAGACTACTGGGATTGCTGAGGAGCATTTCTGCGACCCCTCAACTCGACCTGATGACAACCAAACCAGCTGTTACCGGGATCCTTGTCCAGCAATGTGAGTTTGCCATCCAGACATGCTATAATTTAAAACTCACAGACCAGCAGCACATTTTCTTTTCTGCTCTACTTTCAGCTGTTAAAATCACAAAACTGTTAGTTTAGAATGAAATTTTTAGAAAAGTTGGATCTGTTTTCGAAGTGTTCAAAGTGTCTGTCTTAAAGTGTTTTTCTTTATGACCTTCATATAAAATTATAGCTATTTTCATTTATGAGACCCTAAGGAGAAATGTCCTATTTGTTTATTTTCGTAAATGAAAAAAAAAGTGAACCTACAATGAATCATGCTAAAAGAGTTACACCTTTCAGACAATATAATAGATTAACACTTGACCATTCATTTTAAGCAGATATGTCTTTTTTTTTTGTTCCTTTTCTGGCCTCAGCAGATAAGGAAAACCCTATTTTCTGCTAATGTTTTAAGTAGACACTGAATAAAATAAACTCAATTCTGCTTAAAGTTATAAATTATGTTGAAAAGAAAAGAATGAGGAAGCGACAACCAGTGAGCCTGAGAAGTAAACTTACAACCCAAAAATGTTATTAAACAGTAATAACTTCTTTTAATCAGAATAAATCAACAGTAATATTGTATTCAAAAATCCTAGTGATCCATATTCAAAGAAACCTGAAATCCCAATGAGTTGTTATCTAGAGGTTATAAAACACAGTTTATGTGGAGGCCTTCATAGATTTAATCATAGCATTTGATGCGCTGACAAAACATAATCTTTAAATAAACAGTTACTTTGTCCATGAAAACATTTTCCATTATAGCAGAAAAATTATTGTGACTCTGTCAAGATAAGGTTCCTAATTATAAGGTTTACTGTAATATATTGTTCCATTATTTAACAACCTAAAAAGTCCACTTAAACCTTAGACCCGCTTTGGCTATTTTGAAAAATGTATTATTTTACAGACAAATGTTTGTTCTTCATTAGACTTAGTGAATGATATAAGTTGAGATCAAGAGCAGTATTTCTAATTACCGTATTTTCTGGACTATAAGCCGTTACTTATTTCCCACGATTTGAACCATACGGCTTATAAGAAGGTTCAGCTTTTCTGTGGATTTTTGCTAAACACCAGAGGGGGAAGTGAAAATTGGAAAAAAAAAGAATAAGGGGCTAAAATTCATTTAGCACAAGAACATGCTAGGCAGGCGGAGAAAAAATGTCCTGAGTTCACACATTTTGACATTAATTAACTGCATTAAAGCTGCGGAACCGATGAAGAGACTGGGCTCAACTCCTGCATAGCTGACAGTGGCGACAGTGATGTCGGGTGTAGGAGTTTGCCCTGAAATCGAAGGGTTGGCACCGGCTTTCAGTGACACTTCACCTGCATTCCCTACTGATGGTTGTCAGAGGGCCCGGTGGCACCCGTTTATGGCAGCCTCACTTCTGTCAGCGAACCCCAGGGCAGCTGTGGCTACAATGAGTGTGTTCGTGAAAGGGTGAATGACTGTAAAGCACTTTGGAGTCTCCTGACTTAAAAAGGCGCTATATAATCACAGGCCATTTAAAGAGCTGCCGAAGCCCCATCTTTCAGTTGAAGCTTGTCACTATCTGATCTGTCCTGGAAGCACGATCCGTCCTGCGTATGCGCAAACACAGTAGTAAGATCCAGGTCGGTGAAAACTATGTAATGACGGTACTAAAAATATTTATTTATATACTTGGAACATTAAAGAATGATCTGGAAAAAATGTATACGTTTTGCATTCTCTCCATTGTGTTGCCTGATGTCATCATCGGACATGCTCAGAGCAGTCACACTAACATTTGAAAGGCTATTTAAGTGTATTGCATTTTTTGGGGGTTTTTAGAATATGCAATATTTACGCAAAAATAAAAAAAACATTCAAAGGAACCCCCCTCCTGAAGACAAAAGAAAAAAAAGTAAGAAAAACTAAGTATTGCCTACACTGTTTGTGCATGCACAGGATGGATCATGCTTCTAGGTAGTGACAAAACTCTTTCTGCTGCTTTCCAAGTTGACAGAATCTAGCATTCCTCATTCCTACTCTATGGGCTATATGTAGAGCTCCCCCTACAGGTTTGGTGGGCGACAGTTCAGTTGATATCAGTGGCTTATAGCCCATTGTAGCTTATATATGTACACTTTCAAGTTTTTTTCAAAAGATTTGGTGGCCGTCGGTTATATTGAGGTGTGCTCTATAGGCCGGAAAATTGGGTATTATTATTTTACTTTTATACACTGTTTTGGCACTAAAGTGTAGCGTAATCATTTTGGTAAAATCGGAAAAGAACCTCAATTTTTGCTGAGAAGTTAAGTTAGCACTCTAAATCACTTTCACTCAGTGTCACAAGCTGGAACGCTTTGTCTTAATTTTTCTTAGTCTTGTGGAAATTATTTTTTTTTTTTTGCTATTGTTTCCATTTTGTTAACTTTGTCTAAATGGGAACATGATTAGCCTGAGATTTCTGTTTTACTTAGTTTCCTTACCTTCCAACTCTTCCACCTGTTGCTGATTTTGAATCAGTGCATGTTTCATTAAACAGTTACACATGTTCTTTCCTGTTAATGTTTTCAGTTAATTGTGCCATTTTCTTTTTTTCAGACCTTTGAATCTGGTTGAAATCAAGGAGCTGTAAGAGCTCATGTGTTATTTGCATGTCTGTGTGGATTCTGCAATCAAAAGCAGAGGCAGAAAGATTGCTGAGTTCTTTACTAAGTCAATTCAACTTCCAAAGCCTATTACTTGTGTGATGATCTTTTAAGTCTTATTTAATGGGAGCTTGCTTTTTGTGTTTGGTAATGAAGTTGATTTTACTCTAAATACCTCTGAAAAAGCTAAGCAGCAACACTGTTACTGAGAAAACACATGGAGGCTGTATTCTGATAGAGTATTTAGTGAGCTGACAAAAAATAGCATCTTTTAAGAATGAGGTGAAAGAAAAGTATGGAGTCACTCAAGGTTAAGGGGAAAATTTGATGGATTCACTACTGTTAGTTGCTGAGAGAATTTATGTCTATAATGATATTTCTCTTTGCTTAAACAAGGCTCAATATGTTAAAACTCTAAGAATGCAAAACTGCATCTTTTGGCTAAATAAGTTGAATTTAGTTAAAGAGTTAAATTGTTTTAAATGATTTAAAACATGAAATTAGACATAAAAATACTTCTATGTATAACAACAAAAACTCAGGATAAAAGTTATTAAAAATAGAAAATGCAGAAAAGAATTACTAGAGAAAAAGCAGCAGAATTCAAATGGAGGAAGCTTCTTCTAAAAAACTAAATCATAATCCATCATTACTACCACAGAGCTTTGTCCCAGGGCCTTAAAGAGATGCATGTATAGATTGTAACTGTTTGGATGATTGCTAAATCTGCAATGGCCCCTTAGATCATGCAGGAACATCCGTTTGTTTCCATCCCAGTGATGCATAAATAGATGACTGCCTGAACAGAACAAGAACATTTCCTCTGTTGCTGATGGTGTGAAGCTGCATGTCGAGTAAATGAGCAGGGCAGATGGCCGTAATTACCTCTGCAGGAAATGCACAGATGGGGTTTTAGATTTTGGACATTTTTCTCATTCCCTCAGTCGCCAGACAGTTTTCTAGTGACGAAGCATTTTTTTCAGAATGAACATGTATCTTGTCACTGTGAGGAGGCTTTTACAACTTTTCTTAAGGAACGGCAGCAGGATTCTGAAACTCTGCCTGATTGAAACCTGGGGCGGAAAATGGTCCATTGTCCTGTTTGGATCTGTCTACTCCTATATTATTCTCCAAAGTATCCATGCCTCAAAGAAATCAAGCTGTTGTAAAAGACAGTAGTGCAATGAAGCACTTGATAAAATGCCTCTGGTTTATGTTTCCATGTTTTTGGATCTTTCAAAATTTGAAATATTTGTTTTATCCATCCACTTAGTTATTCATTTATTCCTTTATGTGAACAACAGACTAAAAAACTAAATCACTTCAGTTAAATAATTTATCTACCTAAGTCATCAATAACTTTAACCTATTTTGAAATATTTTTACAATAACTGTTTAGTGATGTATGTTTTACATAAAAATTAAAATCCTTGTAAGAACTTTGTCTCCTCCACACCATCCATTAATTCCATGTACAACAAGTTCTAGCATAATAATGTATTTGTGGTGTTCTTCTATTTTTTTACTATTTCAATGCATGACAGCATGAAAATGTGGGCCAAGTATATGTGTTTTTTATTTATCAAAATTTGCATTATGACTACAGTGATATGTTTGTCATTTTATTCTCATTTGTGCTAATTAGTGGAAATTTGTGCTTTGTTTGGTGCTTGTGCAGATGGTGGGTTGGAGAATGGCATAAGTGCTCAGCAAGCTGTGGTAGCCTGGGTCAGGCTATAAGAACAGTCCTTTGCATCCAAGCTGTGAGCGCAGAAGAGCAGAAAGCTTTGGATCCAAGTGACTGCAACCATATCCCCAGGCCTGAGTCTGTATCCGTCTGCAACATACACATCCCCTGCCCTGCAGACTGGAGCACTGGAAGCTGGTCAAAGGTTAGTTTCTAGTGTGCTCAGAAATATTCCATCAGCTCTTTTACTGTTGTTTTTTTTTTTGTACCACATTAATTCATATTGCCAGTGTTTGTTTACACTCTTCAGGCTGTTATTTCTGAAATAATGGCTGATGTTTCTGGTAAACACAAAGTTTGCTACCTTCCCATCTTGCATTAAATTAGAAAGTTGATGTAGTTTGCACAGTCAGATAGCAACACAGCTATGCTGTTTATTAGATGCTGTAGACACTGTCGCTCTGGGTCACCTCACCTTTTCGGGGATTAGTTCCTCTATCCTGCACCTATGAACATAGAAGTATAAACAGATTTAAAGTAAAGAACACACAAAACCTGAGCATGCAAACTATTTTTCCCCTGTTAAAAGGTCTTTATAAATATGCCAATGTTTCTAGAAATGCCCTAAAAAAATAAAGATTTTACTAATAACACAGTTAGCTGAAAATATGCATAAATGAAACCTAAATAGTCCATTGATGCCAAAGCAAAATAGGTATGCTTTTAATCAAGCTGTTATTTTTAATATTTTGCATTATTCACACATTTATTTATGTCTAAATGTGGAACTGTTTCATCAAAAATTGAGAAACATAGAGACGCAGTGGAAGGAGCTGTGCTTGGCTTTTGGTTGCTTTTTATTACTGTCACAGAATCTCTGCAGCGCTGCATTATCTGTGGTGCCAGCATCTCTGTAACTGAGCCTCCGCTGTTTGGGAGTACAGTATAGCAGTTCTATTTGGAAATCAGATTCATGTAAGACAAATTATTTTTTTTTTTATGTTATTGAACCATAGGGAACTTACCTAGAAAGCATCTACATAAGTGTCATCAAGGACAAAACAAGTGAAAACAACTCAGAGTAAAATATGGTTGCATTACCTTAGAAAATAGCCTCTCTTGCAGAAACTGTATATACTATAGGTGAACTATTTGGGGTAAAGGATCTGAAATACAGAATACTGGAGATACACAGTAAACTCTACTATATTTGCCTACTTTCAAATGAAGTAAGCATTTGACTACATTTCAAATTTAGTAAACTGAAAATTCAATTTAGCATAAATCCTTATTGTTAAATTATTGACCATAATCATTTTGGTCTTTATTCAATCACTTTTATAGTCTCTTGTTTTTTGTGTATGTGGTTTTAAATCCCAGTTCAAACTTACTTGTACCTGTAAATCCATTTAATTTCCACCTTTCTGCTTATTTCTTCATACAGTGCTCAGTAACTTGTGGTCCTGGAACGCGTCACCGCAATGTAACCTGCTCCAGGAACACCGGGGTAGATTGTGACCCTCAAAACAAACCGTCGGCGGTCACAAGCTGCCAGGTTCGGGACTGTCCCTCGGTTTTGGATAATTTTGGAGGCATCGAATGGTCTGGCAGTGGTTGGATGAGCAATGAGGTGTTCAATGAAATAAATATCCTTCCTGAAGCCAAACCTCTCCCCAAATATGGCACCAACAGAGGCCAGCCGAGGAGTCAGAAAGACCACAATTACGTTGTTGAGGGAGATTTCCACTACAACAATAACATTGAAAATAACCAGAATACCATTGAAGATAATGAACCTTCTCGTGAAACCAGCGTTCACATCGACGATTTCTACTATGATTACAACTTTATCGACTTTCATGAGGACTTATTTAATGAACTTGGGATATTTGAGGAGGAATCGGACGACAGTCACAGTTTAAACTCTCCGCAAGAAGCAAAACCAACCCAGTTTATAAAAGAAAAGGGTTTGACAGAAACTCCACAGGTTCCCATTACTACTTCACCTCCTAGGTTGATTACAGACCTCCACCTTTTGCAAACTAAAGAGCCAGAAAGCACAGAAACAAATGTCAAAAAGGTTCACTCTGAGCAAGAATATCAAGATGAAATAAATGACTTTCTGTATGAAGATCACCTTCTCCCAGTATCTGCCACCAGACCATCTCCACTGTCCACAACCCCAGATTCACAAACTGTACAAAAAGGTAAAAGTCTGATGCCTGAAGTTATCAGCACAAAGCAGAGTCTGGTTGTCATCACAAAGTGGCCTGTAGAGGATGAAACACGGGGTCATTCTGGAGAGCAGATGGAATATAACTACAGTGATTCCAGTGAGGAGGAAAATCACTTTTACCGTCTCACTGTGCCTCCGACACACACTGCTCCTGCTGCCAGAACTATAACCACTGATGTTACCTCAAAATCAAATGCTCGAAAGGTTGTTACAGCATATATCTCTTCAGATGAAGATGTGGAAAGTTCAGAACCTTTAGGCGCTCCGTCTCTAGAGAAGGGAAGTCAGGCTGTGACTGATCTTGACAGTAATGTTTCAGAAATACCTCAAACAACCAGTCAGTACTCAGACATTCCAGGTGCTTTCACGGAGGAGGATTGGGATCTGAATCAGAATCGTTTTGCTAAGGGTGACGGTAACCTCTGGGATTCAAAACTTGAGCTCAGCACATCATCACCTCTTTTCTCGGAGAAACCCTCACCTCCTCCCGTTCCCCTCCTTCTAATCTCAGGTAAACAAGACATGTCTGACTCTATATTTTCAACTGAAACAGATGTCAGATTGGATAAAATCCTCCAGGGAGCTACAAGCACCCCTCCAGATGGAAAACAGATACCTTCATACGCTGAGAAAACTGGAACAGACGGAGCATTCCAGCCTACTTCATTTCATTCGTCTGATTTTCATTACAATGAAATATTAATTCCCTCTGTGGTGCAGAGCAGCGATAACAGTCATTCAGGAGCTAAACACCAATCTATAACCACATCAATCATTCCTAAACTTAGCTCAGCTCCAGCACAGCAGGTAAAATCAACGACACCAAGTGCTCTAATTCTCCCAACTTCAGCTCCACTTCTGCATTCAGTCCAAACTTCAGCCTCCACACTGGTCAATAGTGCAGCCTTCTGGATTACTGGTAACTGGAGCTCTGTGAGTATTTTGATTTATTTTCCACACTCCATCTGTTTTTGCTATGCAGAAATTGAAACTAAAACAGCAACAGTTAAATACAAATGTATAAATCAACACAGAGGAAACGTAAGGCACAAAATATGACTTGTATGATTCTTACAGAAAATTCTTATTCATGCTGCTGCTGTTACTGTCTCTAACCCTTAAATATCAAAGTGTAAAACCAGTGGAGCATAGGTGACAAGCTGGTAAAATGGGATTCATGCCTCTTTGGCTTTCAGCTGTCAGATTTATATTCTCACAAATGATTTTGTCTGTGGGCAGTGCTCCACTAGCTGCGGTCTGGGTGCTATATGGAGGACTCTGATTTGCAGCACTGGCTCAGAATCAGACTGCGATCAAACCAAGAGGCCTGCACCTGCCAGACAGTGTTACCTGAGGCCTTGCTCCTCGTGGAAGGTTGGGGAATGGAGTAAGGTAGAACTGCTTTCTATATTACTCTCTATATTTTAATCTTCTTACTTGCAGGTTGCATTACGTAAATCAACAGTGTTTGGCTCCACACCAGACCAATTAATGTCAGAACAAAAAGTTCATTCCATTTATGTATAAATGAAATATCTTGTGAGTTTCATTGCTTTGTTTTGTTGTTGGTTTTTTTTTTTATCTATTTATTTATTTTGTTTCCCAGTGCTCCAAAAACTGTGAAGGTGGAATTAAATTGAGAGAGGTTCAGTGTTTTGACCTGAGAGATCAAAGACCTCTTCGACCTTTCCACTGCCGGGCCATGTCCAGCAGGCCATTAGCACAAATGCCATGCAATGTACGGACATGTCTCGACTGGTACACGTCCTCCTGGGGCCAGGTGAGCTAAATAACAGGATAAATGAATGTGGTTGTTAGAATCTCTTCTTATTTTATATTAATTCTTCTAAATGTGACAGAATAAGGGGTCATTGCACAATCTTTGAATAAGAAACATTGCATTTTTATACCTTTTTCTTTTTATTTATAATTGAGTGAGTTTTTGTCAAAGAAAAGCCTGCTTTTTTATTTAAGCATAGATTACCTAATGTTGTCACAGATGACGCAGTAAAGTGCTGTATTGTAAGCTATTAGAAAAGTTAAAATTCTGGCATGTTATAGTTGTGGTTCAAATTTACCTTTATGCTATATTTAAATTCACTTTATTCTTATTACTCAGCAAAAAATAAGAAGCCGATTGCTTTTCTCTCACTTAGATTCTCATCTTACTAAGGCACAGAACTTCAGCACTCCCAAGACAGACTCTTGTAATATCCAATGCTTTTGACAATGCCTGAATATTTATTTATTGCATTGATAGGGTGCAGGTTGGATGCTGTGTTCTCAAGATGTTACTTATGATGCTTATTGCTTTGGTGGGGTTATTTATGTATTTAGTGAGGATGGGATGGGGTAAGTTGCATTTGTGTGGGATTTGCAGCTGTACAAAAAAGGAGCCGATTTAGTAGAGCACATACATCTCTTAACACATTCAGTGCTGCTGCATCTAGGAGCATCCTCAAAGGTTCCACAGAAAAAAAGGCTAAAGCTTACACTTTTAGGGAAAGGTGTTGCAGTAATGTTTCGAAACTACAATACTAGCCCATTAAATAGTGTGGTTCTATGTTATGCAGAATACACATTAATAGCTCTTTTTGCATGAATTCATGTGTTACTGCTATCTGGTATCTAGGCAACAATGTTTGGAGTTACGGTGTTACATAATGACAAAGTTAGTAACTACATTAGCCTTTCATTGAAAGTCATCTAACTACTTTTCATTCATTTCTAATGCTGTTACATTACCTGAAATCTAACGCTTCATCACTTATCGTCACTTCATCTCGATCAATTAGAACAGGGGCGGGCAATTCCAGTTCCTGGGGGCCGGTATCCTGCAACTTTTAGATACAACTTTGGTCCACACACCTAAGTCAAATGGATGCGTTACCTCCTCAGCCAGTTCCTCCAGAGTCATCTTAATTGATTCAGGTATGTTGAACCTAAGGAACATCAAAAAATCAAAGGATACCGGCCCTCAGGAACTGGAATTGCCCACCCCTGAATTAGAGCAACATTTCATAACTGCACCTCTGCTTTGGGAAGAAATGTTTTCTGCTGGGACAAGCAGGAATCTGAGATCGGTATACGTCATACTGATTGGCTGAGAGGCTAAATGTTTCTATTTATAATAATTCACTCATTATTATAATGATTTATCCATAATGTGAGGGAACAAAGAATTCAATTAGAGGCATCTGTAATCCAAAGAAGATCCTCACATCATCTGAACACTGACTGACAGCTGGCTGCCTATATTTTGTCTTAACTCTCTGTCCTATTTTGTTTTGTCTGTAATAGTGTCCTGTCAAATTCTACTGCAAAGCATGTTTTATTTTTGTTAAATTGCTTAAGAAGCTTTTTTAATTTTTTTATATCTTTTTTGCCTATTTTATAGCCAGTCAAAGGCTGTCAACGTGCAAAAATATGAGGTTCCAAAAAGTATAATTTGCTTTATTTTTTTATCATAAACAAAACCATAATCACATTACACTGCAACATGCTTGACCCAACACACACTCTTAACACTCATGGTGCAGAATAGCATACAATCTTTTCTAATGTGTATTTCTTTAAACTATTATTCAATGAATTCATTCATATCAAACTTCTTATGCTTCATAATAGAACTTCCAGTTGTATTCAAATTCCGATAACGTTAACTCTAAACGCTTCGAGACTTAAGATCATAACTAGTTACTATATAGCTACTTTCATTTTTAACTAGTTACATTGATCATGCAGAAACTAATTTACAAATATGTAACTTTTTATGGAGAAATATTAACTATAACTAGTTACTTTTTGAAGTATTTTCCTCAACATTGCCAGGCAATAATCCTGCCTTTCAGCTGAGATCTTCAGCTCAGGTTAACTTATATCTGACTTCAGGTCATCTGTGGTGTTGGTTCTGGTGTCTCTCGTCTTCCTCTTCACCATTGAGTCCCTATGAGGTTGATGTAATGTGAGGTATTTTTTTTTTTTGGTCAATCAAGCACTCTGATAATAACAAATTATGTATCGGTACTTTGAGCAATATGGGCAGGTCCTAAATTCTACAGGAAAAATAAATCAGCATATTCATACATTTTTAGCATCTAAGCAGAATAAAGAGATCTAAATTAGGTGTTTGGTAATAAACCAATGCAATGATTTGGGGATTTTTTGTTTTTTACTCAATTGTCCAAAATCCTCTTTTCACCTGAGAATATATTTCACTTTTGTTTTTTTTTTTATCCTGACACTCAAACGGTTTGCATACAAACACGTAAAAAGAAAAACGTAAAAAAAAAAAAAAAAAGATCTTCATATGAGGAGCAAATTGCATGTGTCAAATGAGAGGAGCAGTGGTTGCACCTTTATTGCATTGTATACCATAATAAATATGCAGATCATATGTCTTTGACCAAACCATGCTGATATAATTGAGGAGGATATGCAGATGTAATTACTGTACTACCCAAAAAGTCATTTATCAATTCATAGGCTTTGCCTGATTATAAACAGTATGTGTAGCGGCTGATTGATTGCAGCGTTAGTGTCAGTATCTTGTAAATCTCCCCCAAAGTGTTGAACTCATTTCGTAATCCTGCCTAGTATCTCTGGTTTCTATCACCTTAATATCTTATATTGTTTTTGAGTTTTAATTTCATGTGATTTACTTAAACTTTGTCTGGCAAATAATAATGATCTAATTTTGTGATTTACCATAAACAATAAAAATGAAGCCATAATTTTCTGGGGGAGTCACAAAACTTTTAAAAATAGCATTGATTCATTAATTAAGTCAAGTTATAAAGTTTCTCAGTTTTTTTAGGAAAAGTATTCTATTATTTTGTTCCTTTCTAGAGTCTGTACTGAACAAAGTGCTAGCACACTAAAGGGTGGTTATTATTCAGTGGTAACAATAATGTTTCAAACTGATCAGAGAGAGGCGTTAAAAAAAGTGCTGCTTTCTCCGTCTAACAAAAAGAACTGACAAGGAAGTTTCTGAATCATCAAACCGCAGCCAGAGCTTCAGTTTTATAAATGTTGGAGTAGAAATCAGTTCAGTAGAAATCTCAAAATTCTCTGTAATAAGCTCACTGAATAGTTTTTTTCTGCACAATGTCACTAAGTTCAGCATTACTGCATTACAGATTTTAGCTAAAGCTTTAATATGTTTTTAGTTGCTCTTCTGATAGATATCTAAAGATATCCATTTAATCTTAAATTTAAATGCAAAAAAGGAAGTAATTACATAATTCATGCAAACCCAGAAGAATTTTTTTTATTAGACAGCCTTAATTAAGGACCTAAACACAAAAAGCAAATAATATGGTAGTTAAAGGTAGCTATGTGTGTTTGGCATATTTTTATAAGCCCAAATCTTTATTTTCATTACTCAGTCAGGTGAAAAATATATCCCTACCCCCTAACCAAAGATGTATAATATGTTGGATGTTTGTTGCCTAGTGCTCTGAGGTGTGCGGAGGTGGTGAGCAGCAGCGCATAGTCACCTGTCCAGAGGATGATCGATGCGACCGAGACCTTCAGCCAAGCGCTATTCAATCCTGCAACATCCAGCCTTGTGCTCAGTGGCTTACTGGATCGTGGGGACAGGTAGTCTTACATGATAATCAGTCATATTTAATAAAACAGTTTCATTGGGGCAGAAGAATCTCATTTACATTTCAACAACTTGTATTACTCAATTACTTTATAATTTCCATAAATTTCCTATTCATTTTTAAAGCCTTTTTCTCTTCTAGGGGCATTAGCATTGAAATAATTTAATATCCTGTATTATCAGAATCTTAATTGATCTTTAAAGCTATATTGTAATATGAAAATCATGCATTTTGGGGGTAATGTGCCTCAATAATTCGTCCATGAGGTATTATCAATAATACCTTCTCAATTTAATTTCTGTATTAATGTATTAATCGGCTGTAAAGATAATTTTGAGATTAATGGTAGTTGGTAGAAGGGAGGACTGATTTGAAGTTAATAACATGTTCCTCCCTAAAAGACTTTAATTTAAAAGACCAAGGACATGATCTATGGGTTTTGCATGTGTACAAACTGGTGCAGACTTGATAGCATGAGCACAGCTTATCTACTAATTGGTTGCACTCAGTCGCAGGGGCAATCCATCTAGTGCTAGGGTGCCCAGATTCAGTCTTTGAGGGCCACTGTCCTGCAGGTTTTAGCTGATTTCCATTAATAGCTTATTAAGGGTTTTTTTTTTTCTGAAAATGCAATCTTCAGAGTCAGCTGTGCTGAAGCAGGGAAACCTCTAAAACCTGTAGGAAAGCAGCCTTCGAGAGACAACTTTTTGCAGCCCTGATCTAGTGTGTTTGCCTTCATGAGTTTTTATAACATGCACTGATCATCAGAACATGTAAAAAACTGGGAGGAGGATATGCTAATGTAATTATGTACCAGATGCAATCTGATCAAACCTAAAAACTTATTTTGGGTGCAATTTCTGATGTTTAGGTTGTTTAAATGTTTGGTGCAAACTCAATGAACAAATTCGGTCATTCTGGCAAGAAGGGGGCACAAGTGTAATAACATATTTAGACTGTCAGAAATCAAACCGAAAAGACATATAACTTATTAAGCAATGCTATCTTTGTGCTGCTGGATAAACTAAGGGCCAACTTGGAGTCAGTCACAAATAGAAACCATTGCCTTTCTTCTATGGTAAGAAGGCTTACAATGTCACATTTTCTTGTGTCTGCATTGATAATTTTAGCGCTCCATCACTGTTAATGGCTTTTCCCTGAGTAATATTTTGTGCTGCACAGTCCAGCAACAGATTAATTTTAGAGGTGAGGGGGCATATGGCTGTTTTCTAGCCTTGCACTTGTTCACTATCATCAGATCAAGTGTGAAAGTAGTTTACAACAAAAAAATGTTTTTTCAGTATATAATATATCAAGTAACAAACTACAGCAGGTATAAATAACAAAAGGATGAGGTGAAACAGTCTTCTTTGAGCTTGGTAGAGGAGCAACCACAAACCAACATTTACTGCTTACTTGTTTTTATGCTGTGGGAATTTCTAGGACAAACTCTCCCATGAATACATGGTGGGGTGTAGTGCAACCCTACATGCAACCAGTGTGACAAACAAATTGCATTACCGCTTATAGAGTGGTGTGTTTCAGCTTTTATGGCTGTTGTTCTCAAACCATGGTGCTAAAAATGCACAATGTTTTCTTTAAAAAAAAATTATCCATTAATTAAAAAATTTAAACTGTTACAAACATGCAGTGTTTCTAGAAAGATGATTTTACTGTTTCTGATTGGCATTGCTTCCAGAAGCTAAGACACTGACCTTGACTGGTGTGACAGTGGATAGGGGATGATTTGATTTTAAATTTCATGCAAACAGAAAAGTTCCTTTTTTCCTCATTTTCTCCACATAGAGATCATAGCTGCCATCGATGGGCAGTTCTATTACGAAATATGACTGCCTTTGACACATGCAAAATTAACCCACTGCTCTCAACCATCAGATCCTCATTTGAATAGGGTGTAAGCACTAATTTTACACTTGTTATCGATTGAGCTCACTATTTTAGTAAATTACCCTCAAAACTTATATTACATGCATTCACAATTTTTGGTTTGGACAACAAATGAAGCTCACCTTTTGTGGGATATTGCTTGCAGGGCTGGGTGATACAGAAATATATATTTATTATTTTTTTAATCCTTTTTTTTTGTTTGGTACTTTCATTTCCACCAACATAAGTGTATTTTAGCTATTGAACAAAGAATACTTAAAAAGGTTCTCATTTAATGTACAATGGGAAGTAAGCTAATGGATCTTGACTCAGGTTATTGTTTCTTTCAGAATATTAAAGCTTGTCAAATAACAATGTTTAAATGATTGTAGTATATGTGTACTATAAATGTTAAGAAACTTTAAATAAATATTCATAATAAATCACATGTTACTGCTGAGTTTGATCACCTCCAAAAAATGTCTCCCTCTCTCATTTATAATGTCACTGATAGACCAAAGCTGTGCTCTCTTACCTATTAACAATAATGTTGCTTATTTTTAAAGTAAAGATAACAATAACATGTGTTGGCTTTTTTGCCATTAAAGTATATTGATAAGTTTTATGTAGTTGCACATATACAATACAATATGTTTAAACTCTTCAGAAACTTTAAGAGTAAAAACAACTGCTGCCTAGTGATAGCTTCTAAACTTCAAAAAGTAGGTCCTTTTTTGGTACATAGGAGTCTTTCTCACTCTAGAAGAAAGTATTTTCAAAAAAGATAGCAAGAAATTCCTTTTAATTAGCTGTCTGACATTACAAACTCTGCCTGTAATTGGCTGTAAGTCTTGTCATGATTTCTTCTCCTCCAGCCTGCTGATAAAGCAGCTGGTTCTGGGTTTTTTTATACTCAGAAAGAACAAACCTGGGAATCAATCAATCAGGTTTTCCTCACAATGTAAGAGAGTCCTAATCCCCTTTACAGATCTGTTTCTGGTGCATGTTTCTGTTGGCATATTATGCAAAACTATTTTCACTATGTCTACTTCTACTTTTTAAGTTCAATTTTTCTGCTTGAAAAGTAAAGTGTTCTCCAGGTTGCATTACAACAGCCTTATCCAGAGCACTTAGTCTTTACTACTGTATGTTAATTCTGATTTTGAATTTATTGAAGTAAAAGGGAAAGATTAAGACAAAAGAGATGTTTAGAACTAAATTTGTGTGGATTTAATTGAAGTGAAATGGATTTAGCTTTTCTCCATTAATCTTAAACGATGAAACTCTGCTACCATCCAACAAAAGTCAAATTGTATTACTGAAAGAATGTGAGTGCTGTCAATTTACAAAAAAAAAAAAAGCGAACTGGTTATTATAATGTTAAACATTGGTAAGAACGCTTACATTATGTTTTGAATGATAAACTTTTGTGAAATTTCCCTCAGTGTTCAGCTTCTTGCGGAGGAGGACTGCAGCATCGGCTCATCAAATGTGTCAACACAAAGGCAGAGGATTCAGAAGAATTGGATCAAGATCAGTGTGACAACAAGCTAAAACCAAACGACAACCAAAAGTGTAACATGCAGGATTGCAAAACTGCTCCCTCCGGTAAGTTATTTGTTGCAAACTTTTGTTGTTGTTGTTATTTTAATTTCATCCCTTGCATAAAGGAGACTTTTGCACTCTAAGAAAAATAGTTTAGTCAGATCATATTCAATGTCATTCATGCATTGTCAACATAACAGTGAAAAGAGAAAAATCTATTTCATTTTGTCACAATGTAACCTTGAAATTTCATATTGTATCATGGGAGTGGGAAAAAAGCAAAGTGGGAGTTAATGGTCAGAAATCTTTTAGCAGCGGGTAGAAAACAGACGCCTGAAGAGATCAACTTCAATTTCAAACTGAGACCGGAGTTGAGCACCTCCTGAGTTTTCTCAGTAATCTCTGTGCTTTCAGCATCCAGGAATACTGGGAAAATTATTACAGAATTTATCTAAAGCTGCAGAACATATTTTTTTATAATTTTGCAGCACATTCAATGATTCATTCTCTCTCCCTGAATTTCATATAAAACAGCATTAAGTGATGTTTATTGTTTTCACCAACAGTATTTTGCAAAAGTGAGTACATCAATACTGTACATTATTATAGATATTTTACTTTTTCATGGGAACCACATGACAAATGGGTATGTGTTGAAGTAGTCTGGGTACAGCTTGTATAACGATAAAAATGTCTGTCCCCTTAAATAGCTCAGCAAACAAACATTCATTTCTGGTCTGCTGGAAAAAAAAGTGAGTTGCAACCCTAAGTGAAAATATCCAAATCAATCCTGTCAATATTCTCTGCCTCCACCAAAGTAGCAGGAAGGCCTCTTGTGTGTTTGTGGTCTATGTCAGGAACATTTATACAAAGCACAAATGTACCATTGTTGTATTATTTGATTGTTCATCTTATATCAGATTTGTGTCATAAAATGCTCCAACATTATTACTCATTTCCTGCCATCATGCAGCCCTTTCCAGGTGCATGTGTGTCATTTACCTGATGAACAGATGGCATCATGGCACACAGTAGAAAGGACCAGAGGCAGTATGATATTTTGGGCAATGTTCTGCTAAGAAGTCTGTTCTGTCATCTATGTGAAATTTATTTTTGATGCATAAAAAATGCCTAAACATTATTGCAGAACAAACGCACCATTTTATGAAAAATGTCTTCTTTGATGGTTCTGGCCTGTTTCAACACAAGGAGTAAAATAGTTAATTTAAAGTTTTCACTTGGCTTCCAAATCCCCCAGATCCCAATCTAATTAAACCTCTGAGAGACATTCTGTACAAAGACCTTTAACCCATGGGGATCTCCCTGATGCCTGGTAGCATGGAACACTTTCAGAGTGTCTTACTAGTTTAGAAATACAGTATTATAAAAGGTCCTATTGGTTCCTTCTTTCTGTCTGCTTCTGAGCCAAAATTTCTGCATTCTTCATGTTTCTGTAGCAGATCTTGATTTTTACGCTTAACAAAATTAAGCACAATCATATCAACAAAATAAGCATAAGCCATAAATGAGTACTGTTGCTGCCAAAGTAGACGGGGATAAATACAGCAAGATTTCTAGATTTTTAAATATATTTACTGCTTCCACACAGCTGAATCTAATAATCACATGTTTTTTATTTGATTATGTAATTTAGCCTTTGATTGGAAGGTAATTTAACACCCTTTGGTCAGAACAGCTGAGTCTGTCATGTGCTTAACCGGGAAAAAGATTAACTGCTCTCTCTAAATGACAGTAAAGGTTTACCTAAGGCAAAGTTCTTAAAGAACACCCTGAATGTTTGGTTTATAAATGGCAGTAAATATTCTCAGTCATCCAGGTCATAGTCAGTAGCGCTGGAGTAGTGTTGAGATCCAGGCTTATAGAGTAGCCCAAACAAAAGCCTTGTTATGGCTTAGAAAACATTTCTGTTCAATTTGTAGGTTTTCTACTCCAGACACTTTGAATTGAGAAGGCTTCCTGGATGAGAAGCAAAACATCTACAAACTTAGAAAACTACATCCAGTTGTTGTTTTTTTTGTTTGTTTTTGGCAGGGGGCGGATTTATAGTTAACTTTAAGATGGAACAGAACATAGATGATTTTTTTAAGCTCACACTACTTTTTTCTAGTGCTGGGCAATCGATTGCAATAACTATCCAATTGCAACTTATCAAAACATCATTTTTTAATCACAGAGGCATTTAGTTTTGGTGACATTACATTTAACAAGAGTAATACACTAAATTTCTCATCCCAGCCCTTAAGGTAGGTAATACAGTTAAGGTGGGTTTGCCGCCGTGCAGAATAGAAGAAAGAATCGCAGCTAGCATGCAGATCCATTCGTACACACGTATCCATACATTTTTTTCCAAACAAAGGTTACAGTAATGTCCTGCAATAATGAACTCTGGGCAAGACGCCTTTTAGGGTCATTAAAAAGAAACCCTGGAGTAAAACATCCTCATGGTGGCGGTTAGTGCAAAGAAAAATCATGATTGCAATATTAGTTAAAAAATAATGTTAATTTAGATTTTTTAGCAAATTCGTTCAGTCTTATACCCCTTCGGCACCCCTTTGACACCACTGAATGCAATATACAGATGTCAACACACCATGCCAGTCGCTTCTGATCTAAACAAGCCGAATCAGCTCTGTTTATATTCAGTAAACATGGTACTGGTAAGTGGGATTCGGACATTCAGACTGGCTCCCATCCATGTTGCTTACCCTTGTTTACTTTCTGATTTCCGTTGCACTGTCGACATCATCAACACTCACCCAGCATGATGAAGTCATCACAGTGGTGGGGGGCAGTGACCACGCAGCTTTCCAGCAGGGGGTCAGACTCTGCTTTTCAGTCAAAAGGGAAAAGAGCCAAAAGCTGATTGTTAGCAGGTGGGAAAGCGGCTTTAGTTTATTCTGTTGGTATCCAGAAGAAAGTGAATCCTAAAGGCAAAAGCTCTTAATTCATTCTTTCATTTATTTCCTCATACCAACCTAGAGCCATGAGATATTGGGTTTAACAAAATGGCCCAAAAATATAATCCAGCAAAATAAACTGGATAGAATGTTGGGGTTTCCCTACCTGGTATGTCTAATAAGCTTAGTTTAAATCGTTTAAACTTGTTTCATTTTAACCTAATGTAGAAGTATTGACTCCCTTCTCATCCTATTCCTTGATGTATCCTTTTATTTAGATTAGTATGATGGATCCATCTTAGCAGATTGTTCGCAGGATGTCTAAAGATTCAGCTTTGATCTGATAAGACCTCTGGTTGGAGAGAGACAGTTAAAGGTAAAACCTAATTTTCTGTTGATACCAGTCATTTCAAGCTTGCTTTCAGAAATGTTAAATGGTGAGCTTTTGTTTTTCCACTAGCACACGAGATAAAGGGAATGACAAACAAAAGCTTTTACCTTAAAGGTTGTGATGATTTAGAGCTGAAATAAAATCTAAGTTTCACTTTCTTCAATTGACTATTTCATATACAATGCTAATATAAATGTGCACTTTAAAATCAATGTGAGACGGCTTGTTTTGGCTTCATAAATCAGAAAAGTTACCTTGAATTTGAGCTTTAGGGTGATAAAGAACATCAAATCTGAGATTTTTTCTCTGCATAAACTTTGCTGTATTTTGCTCTCAGCATTACTGATATCAGTCTGGAATTTAGAAGCTCTCGCTTCTGAAGGCCACATCACAGACCAGTCGAGAAGCTGACTAGAGTCATATTAATGGGATTTTTTGTTAACAAGATCCTCATAGAATAAGCTGAAGTTCTTCTTCAGAAGATGGTTGCTAACAGGCAGCTCTTTAGAACAGGGCTTTACTCGAACCCTTGTTAGAAATTTAAAGTTGAACTTTGGTCGAGTCACTCTAATATTTATACAAGTTCATTTCTGGGTTTGATGTTAATGCCTCTTTGAAGTCTGTTGCCAAAGAAACTCCCATTTAGGCACATCATTTGACATTTTGTTTAACTCGAGTAAAGGGATGGACTCTTTAAAGTGTGGTTAATGGCTCCACTATAGAATAAATGTACCTCACAACTCACATGCAGTGAATGTCATTGTTAAAAAAAAAGTTTTGTCTTTTTTTCTTACTCAAAGTTTGAAAGGAATACAACAATAATTCATCATCATATGCAGCTGCAAGATTAACCTGTTAAAACCTGTCTGATAGGCTAAACAGTCCATGGAATTAAACAAGAGCCAGACCATCAAAATAGATTTGTTATCTCCAGGCCATTAGGAGTGAAAGAGCATCATTACAATCGTGTGTGTATATATATATATTGGACTATATATACGGACTGTCCTATATATATATCTCTTCCTCACCCATCACGGGCGGTCTTCCCCCCCTTTTTCTCCAAGCTCGGGTCCTGGGAGCTTGAGGGTTCTGCGCAGCATCTTTGCTGTTGCTAGAACTGCATTTCTCTGGACTGAGATGTCTGATGTATTTCCAGGGATCTGCTGTAACCACTCCTCCATTCTGGAGGTCATGACCCTATTGACCACGGGTACCACTGATGCCTTGACCTTCCAGGTTTTCTCCAGCTCTTCTCTGAGCCCCTGGTATTTCTCTAGTTTTTCATGCTCTTTTTTCCTAATGTTGCAGTCACTTGGTATTGCTATGTCAGCCACAATGGCTTTCCTCTGTTTTTTGTCCACCACCACTATGTCTGGTTGGTTTGCCATTACCATTCTGTCCGTATGTATGTGGAAGTCCCACAGAATCTTGGCTTGGTCATTCTCTACCTTTTTTGGGTTGTTTCCCATTTGGGGGTCTCCAGCCCATACTCTGCATAGATGTTCCTGTACACTATTCCAGCCACTTGGTTATGGCGCTCCATGTAAGCTTTCCCTGCCAGCATCTTACACCCTGCAGTTATGTGCTGGATCTAGAAAAAAAGTTTTTAGAAAACAGGAATGATGCTGCAATTTGCCATTTAAGGGATAGTATTGAATATCCAAATGCTTTTATTAAAAGGTAAATGAGCATGACATTGACTTTAAAAAGCTTAAAAAGGTTGTTTACAGACACCCTTTCAAGGCACATTT